TTACTAAATCTCTTGTGGTCCATGGACACGCTTGAATACCTCTCCCTCTACTTGGCATATACATCAGAGCATTGCAGCAACTAGACACATCACTGCACACTTGGAGACTCTACCCCAGGCTTATTCATTGAAACTCTGAAATACAAGAATCAATATTAGATTTTGCACAACACTGGGCTCATTTAATAAATAGCTTGATGGGGTAATTGAACCCAAGGAGGAACACATACCAACTGGTTCCACTTTCCCATGGTGCAGCTCACAATCACATACTGTACCAACCTGCCACAACATCTATCTCTGGACAGGCATATTTGAAAATTGAATGATTGTTTTAAGAAAACTTTCCACCCATTCTCCCACAAATGTATTCAATGTCACTTTTGCTCCCAGCTTTCTGCAAATGCCTGTCTGTAACTGAATATTACGATAGGTAACTTACCCTCCTGTTTTTGTCACCTGCAGGGAAACATCTTATATTCACTCTCGAGTCTTCATTGAGAGTCTTCTCTTATTAAAACAGATTGTTCAAAGACTTTCAATTCTGAAGCTTCACATACTGACCCTTCAGATTTTAAATGCTGTCCCATCCTTGTTCATACCAGCTGTTCGACTCCTACTCTGCCTTGGTGGCTGGAGTCATGGTCACCACATGTCTGAACAAGAAAGACCCAAGAAATATATGGCAGCAGATTTTCTGCTAATCCTGAGGGGAATTCTCCTGGGAAGAAATCCAGGCTATTTAAGCACAACTTCCTCATTCAGTCTCAGTAATTCATAGTCTTAAATAAAGAATTATTAATCAGAATAAAGTAAATCTCATTTTAATAAATAACTTTTGCTGGTATTATATTACTTAATATCAAAATTAATACATTAAATAACTAATACCAATATCTGATCTATGCCTATCTCTGATATAACACGCATTATTTATAGCTCCTACAGAAATAGCACATTTCTCATTTAAATACTTCAATGCAAATGAACACTGATATTTAACAATCACTTACACATTGTTTCTGATCTTCCATAAAGAGAGATACTGTAGTTTGTCAAGTATCCACAATGCAAGAAATACTCTCTATATACAATACTTTCTGATGTACCTTATATCCTTTGTTTCCTCTGCGTCAAAGAAAACACACTCCTGCTCAATAATACTGATAAAACAACTTATTCTTGATGATTCTCTCCACAAACTGTGAGACACACTGACACTATAAAATTGATAATAACACACATTGTTTATAACTATCATTCTTTTGGTGAACCCATGTAAAACTACTTCTGAGAGACGTACAAAACATCCCCAATATAACACACCTTCTTTATGTAGCATCCGTCGTATAGTATGACTATATCTTGCAGCCTCTAAACAAACACCATCTGAAAATACTTCCTGTATGGGTCTTGAGGGAAATGCTGTAGAAACAGTTTACTTTTAAAAGTAATGCAATCCTTATGTTACAAGTATTTTTATTCTGTTATTGATATATATATACATATATTAAATTAACACACTGGGGCTCCACTCAGGGGCAAGATGTGATTTCCCACACTGACGGCTCTATTCACATGGGGTGGGTGGAAGGGAGGAAATATTGAAGGAAGAGGCATCCTACTGCACACCTTGCTTCATCCATTAACAAAGTAGCATTGGTGGATATTCTGGACCATGTCACCTCCTTACCTTCGCAGTCAGTAATGCCATGCAGTACAGGGAACTCAGGGAACTTTTCTGCCCCAGTGTGAGTCTTTGGGAAGGGGGAAGAATAACCTTCAAGGCAGAGAAAAGACAAAGGGAAATAAGCACCTTAAAATTAAAAAGAATGGTAATGTGAAATCACAGAAATTTGTTTTAGAAATTAAAATGGTTGGGGATTTCCTTTCAAAGGTGGATTAGGGGAAATTATTCTGTGGCAAACCAGGCCAGAGGAACTGGAAGACATGATAAGTGAAAGAAGTCATGAGCTAAACTTTACTTTAATAATTTGACAGTCATTGACGATGCAGTAGGCTGGTGCCATGTGCAGTGGGCATTACCTCAGCTGAAGCATTCCAAAGGAGATTCAGATAATACCAATGACATGAAAGTGTACATGAACTTTACACTAGAGTAAGAAGAGACGAAAGATATTTTTCAACAACTGAAACAGAATGGGCCGATCTAGATTAGTTGAATGAGTTTTTCTCCTTCCTTAGACGTTTAAGTTAAGTTCAGCCAGTAGGATCCAACTTCAAAAATATCAGGTAAAATCCCACATTACTGAAAGGGAAAAGAAAGAAGATAACATAAAAATAAAAGAATACTCAACAAATGATATATTTCCAACAGTCTACCTCCCACTTGCAGTTTTAAGGGTTCTCCTTAAGAGCTCTCCATCACAGAAACAGGTCATTGAACCCATCAAGCTGGTGTTTTTCTCCACTTGAGACTTCAAATCTAATCACACCTCTACTGCATAGACCCTTTCATATTCCTGCTTTTCATCCATCTATCTAGTTCACTTTGAAAATAAATTATGGGCTGTACGTCTGCCATTATTTATGCAAACTACTTCAGTAACAAATATAACCACAATTACAACATCCAAAAAAGATCAGACATTTTCTCTGATTTCTGCAGATAAAAAAAGGCAATCCCACATAATAAGACTCTGACTCTGCCTGATTATCCGCTGACATTCCTGTGGTCCCAACACAACATTGTGCTCTGTGGACTTTTGGATCAGCTGCATCCCCATTGCAATCTACATATGGAGAGGGATAAACTTGGAAAGTCAAGGATTTTAACAGAAATCACCCACAACTTTTGCATTTTTTTTTAACTGTCAACAGGAATTCTTTGTTCCTCTGACTAGCCATTTGAAGGTAACCATCCAAAACTTTCTAAATGATCTAATATGAATCCACAGTAAGAAGACCAAATACTTTTTCATCCTGTTCTTACAAAATATTATGCACGCTAATAAGTTCTTTTTAAACATAGGTTGGATACACAAATGGTCGTACCTTGAATTCTGGCTTTCCTCTTTTATATGCCTAGTGAGCCTACAGTTTAACAGTGCTGTAAAATCACGTGATTTAAAAAAAACTGTTCAGATGTCAACTGCTGAGAGTCTGATTTGTGAATCAATGAAAAGCATGCATCGTTGTATCAGGTGTCAAATCTTGTCAAAATTATTTACACAGGAACCAACTAGAGACCCTCATGGAGAATTGGCACTCGGTCACATGGGGTGAAGGTCCTTTCCCTTTGGCCCTATTGAATGGTTTGCTTTCTTCATTGTAATTAACATATTCTGAGCTTCAAATGCCGAGCCAATCCCCATTCCAATCAATTGCCTTATGTGCACTAGTTTCACTTCACTATTCTCTGAAAAATAAGGTGACCTTTTTAATCAAATCGCCTTTCCATCAGAAATTGCTGTATGGTTACGTGAAGTAATGTACATTGCTGCCTCGTGAGTGAAGCACTCTTCTTTTCTGGGATTGCAAAATGGCATTTTGTGACAAAGCAAAGTACTGTACTAAATTTTCCAGAAGACCCTGTTTTGGAATTGACGTGATTTAGGATTTTAAGTGATTTATAAATTGAAATATATTTAAAAACAGAGCTGGCCAGTGAAAACTCAATATAAAATCCCACTCTGCTTTCTTCAATCTTCCAAAAGCTTATTAACAGCAATGTTCATGATGGCTGGTGCAATCCGTGAAGTTTGATGAGAGTCTATCTTCAAGAACAATTGAAATTGTTCCGTCAAGCTGGTTTTACATTAGGTGAGTGTGATAATCTAGAAAGAAGTGTAGTTAAGTTTCCCTGTGGTTGTCCAAAGATACATATTTTTCATCAGTAAATTATCTATTAAATCACTGATTGCACTAGAAAATTATTAGTCAGTTGATATAAAGCCGATTTGTATGTATGTGTTTCTGAGTTCAAGCCAAAACAAGTCCATTTCTGATTCCTTGGCCCTCTTCGGATTCTTTGGTGAAAGAGGAATGACTGATGGAGAGTGTGACTTTTGGAGCAGCACATAATCTAGACAGATTGGTGCAAAACATTTGTGATAAAGCCCAAGCCACCAGCTAACTAAAACTAAACAGATTTGGTGAACTCTTTTTGAAAACCATTGACATATGAAGTCCTAAAGGAAAGGAACAAGGCTTGACTCTCAATGAAGAGAACTTCAGTTGAGGTCAGTATGTCAGTCTCAAATAAGCCATCTGGCAAATGGAAGGGGAGAGAAATGAGGAACCCCTTCACACATCATTCAAGAACACATCCTGGTGGGTCAACCAAGTAACAGCATCAGTACTGCCATAGAGCTGTCCAAAGATTAAAATCATTGTGTCGTCAAAGTGAAGGAACTGAGATAAATATGGGGGGGGGGGGGTGGGGTGGACAGGTGGAAGGGAATAGAAATAACCTGGGTAAGAATAAAGAATATATGAAAAAATAAAATGCTTTAACATTTTATTTACACTACATTTACTACTTGACAGCCCACCAGGATTCTGAATGATTTATGCTCCAGAATACGGCAAAGATGGCAATATTCCCAATTGTACCAGTCAATCACAACTCATAAGAGGGGAAAGTGTCAGCAGCAGCTCAGTGGGAGCTTTCTCTGAAAATTTCTGTTCTTTAAGAGGCTGGGAAGCAGAAACAGAATTGCTCTGGCTTTGATATTGTCTGGTGTAAAACAGAGACTACACTAAGCTTCGTGACCCACTGGAATATCTACGTCTGTGGATAAAAGGGTTGGGTGGACAGTACTGGTGAGGATGGTTATATGGAGGGGGTGGAGGAGGCAGAGGTGGTTGATGGATAATCTTTACAGGTGTGACTTGAATCCTGTCCTCCTTCGATTTGTGAGGTGTGGAGCCAGTGGAGCTGGTCTCCATTCCCGCCTGGTGGGTGGGTGTCTGATTTGGAGAGCTGTCTGGCTCGCCCTGTTTAGCAGGGAGGACAATAACATTTACGATCTGCTGGCACTGGAGAAGCGTTTCAGGAAGATGTTCCACTGCTCCTGTCACTGCCGAGTTTTCCTGCTTGATGTTAAGGAGGCTGCTTTGCTGCACTGCGCATTCCTGGTTCCTCGGTGAGTTGTGCTGGTAGGCTTGAAGCCTGTTGTGAATCGACACCTAGGTTAGAAAAAGTCAAGACATTGTTACTTTCCATATTAATGTCAATTATATTTTATCCCTGTATAGCATACAAGCCATATTACAGAATGTCCTACTTGACTGAAGAATTATATAACGAATGCCAGCTAATTGGGGGCACAGTTAATAGGGTTAATCATTTAAATGGAACTTTTTTCTCAGGAACCAGTTCATTCGCTTTCCATCCTTTTTGGTTTATAGGAAAAGGTTACATGCACGTTGCCGTCATTCGTTGCCAATATTGAAACAGTTGTTGAAATGTATTTTATGTTAAGCACCTCATTACTATCCAATACACCAGGTCCTAGAGGTCTCATACAGAATTTTAACATCCCACATCCCCCCACCACCATTGAATGTAAGCTTGCTCAATCAAAGTGGGTCAAAAATACTAGATCCAGTGGACTTATAAGATATGTTTTTGCCAACCATGTGCAAAGACTATTTCCGGTGACCAGCTAACTCTGACATTACATTATCTTCAGAAATACATAAGTCAAGCCAGAATATAAAAAAAGTAGTGTTATGCTTATTCACTGTGTCCCAACATCAGCGGTCAGGCCTTCATCTTCTCTGCCCCCACCCTTTGGAACTACATCCCACAGTCCCTTTGTCTTGCTCTCTCCCTTACCTCCTTCAAAGCACATCTCAAGACCCTCCTCTTCAACTGCGCATTCGGTCACCCCCCTATCCCTAATCTCTCCGCCCTCCATCCCCTGTTTCCAACCCCCTGCTCGGGTCCAAATCCCTAACTACCAGCACCCTGCGACACCCTCCTGACATGAAAAGTGCTTTACAAATGTAATTTGTTGTTGTAATTGTCTCAGCAAGTTAATCTGATCCATTTTCAGCCAGACGTGTAACCTGTTAAATGTCTTGCTCCTCATGAGATTCATCTCATTTAACTGTCATTGTCGCATTGGTAATCTATCTCATAATTTTAACTTTAGCCCTTTCTTTAAATTCACTGATAGCCATGAGGGACTCTGCTTCCCTAATTCTAATCTGACTCTGTATAGACAGTCCAGACACAGTAGATATAATAAAACAACAACAAAATTACATTTATATAGCGCCTTTCACGTCGGAAGGACTCCCCAAGGCGCTGGACAGAGTTTCGGACCCGAGCTGAGGGTCGGGGTGGGGGAGGGTGTGGGGGAAGCAGGAAGATCGAAAGCACGATCGAAGAGGAGGATCTTGAGGTCGTTCTTGAAGGTGGCGAGGGAGGGGGCGAGACGAAGGGACTGCGGGATGGAGTTCCAGAGAGTGGGTGGCGGAAGTCCGCCCGCCAATAGTGGGGCGAGCAAGGCGGGGGACGTGAAGCAGGCTGGAGCCCGCTGAGCGGAGGGAGCGAATAGGATGGTAGGTGGTTAGGAGGTCGAGCTAGAGGTGAGGAAGACCATGGAGGGCTTTGAAGGTGAGGACCAGGATCTTGAATTGTATCCTGTGTGTGAGGGAAGCCAGTGGAGTTGGGCAAGGATGGGGGTGATGGGATCACGGAGCCTCGTGCGGGAGAGGCCACGGGCTGCAGAGTTCCGGATGATCTGCAGCCTGTGGAGGGAGGAGTTAGGGAGGCTGACAAGCAGTGCGTTTGCATAGTTGAGCCTCGATGTAATGAAGGAGTGTATGAGGGTTTCAGCGGGGAGACAGTGTTAGAGCCGGCGACGTTGCGGAGGTGGGAAAGATCTAATGTCTGATATACTGACTCTATGTGAAACCATCAGTACATGTAAAGTATCCTTTCCTGGACCAAGCTCCCATCGGGTCCAGCTGTTAATTGCACACAGGACAATCTCTATTGGCTGCAGTGGACTGAGTCTCGTCCACTAACTTATCACAACGGCAACATTGTTCAGAGATAGCAGGGATGACTGCCATCCTGAATGGCAGTTTCCTGTTCTGGAAGCCCTGATGTGGGCACCTGGACTTCTGAAATTTTCAGGTAGGCCTGCAATTCACAGGGATATAATGGTGTTTGTGCTTTTTTTTGGTTGGTCATCTAGGTGTCTGACACCTGTGGTCACCTACCACCATTGCTTCAGAGTATCCAAACCAGACTGAGAGTTCCACAGGCAATATATATATATATATGTCATCTACACATGACAATTTTCCTGTGTCTGAAATGGTATACACACTCTCTTGCATCTTGCATACATAATTCCAGCGAATATTAAATGCAGATTAACGAACGCCAAGGCTTGGAGGACCCAGAGTGTGTGATGAGGTATGCTGGAGTTTAACCAGCTAACCTGCATAAAAAAATCATTGAACCATTGAAAGCACTGCTTCCCACTGCTTGTCCAGCAGCATATATTTGAAAGTCAATACAGATTCTTTACAAGTGTTTTTCTTTCAACAAAAATGAATTTGTGACCATTTTTGATTAAAGTGTTTTCTATCTTTGACTTGTGCTTGAAACACAAGAAATGGCCAATTCTGCTTGGACTTGTGAGGTCAAGACACAGAGTTCCAGTTTAGATTCAAATCCTGCTCCAGAGTTGAAATAACAATGTACTAACTCACTGTTCCACCGAATGTTTCTGGTACTACATTTCCTTATAATGAAAAACCCAGGAACACTTTGCCCAAGTACCAAGTCATGCATTTGGTACTGAAATATAATAATCCTTACAGTTGACCTGCCTTTCATGTCAGGAAGACATCTCAAAACGCTTCATGGGTTATACAGCAAAAAGTAGTATTTTTTAAATTTTGTAGGCAAATGCTGCACACATACCATTGCATGGTAATCGAAGCAATTGCTTGAGAAACACAGTCTATACTAGGATTGCTGTAATCCTCTCTTCAAACCACTTTATTGTTGACCATCGAACAGTAGTATTAAGCAACAAATGCTACTTTTTAGCACAAATCATTCTGATTTTCTAAAAACAATATGAAGCAAAAAGTAAGGTCAGCTGTGTTGACCCTGGTGCACAGTGGAAAAGGAGATGATAAAATATATTTTACCCTCGCTCCTCCTTTCCAAAAGGTATGGAGATGGCAAGATACCAAGATAATTCTTTGTGCTTTTCGGTATAATTATGATGTTTTTCGGTATCTCAATTACCACAATACAGAGAGAAGCCAGTACATTGAAGAATCTGTAGATTAAACCTTCGAAGAGGCAACTTCATGGAATCTCCTTGGAAAATATTAAAAGTGTCCATAAGTAGTTGAACTTTGTAAAAGGAGAATGGTCTCACTTTTCTCCATCCCCTCCCAATTTTATTGTCCACACAAGTACCATGATCTTTGAGAGAACAAAACAATTGTTAACTGGCCAATGCTGGAAAGTTATGTACCAGGCATATAATTCATGGCAGAGTGGCTGCAAGGTCCTGTTTGCTGTCATTTGGGCTCTAAAGCAACTCTAAAAAATCTGTCTCTCACCTCGACTTTCTTGACACCATTCTTTCCCATTATCGATCAGGAATGCTGATATTTACACCCACTCATTGAGATTCAGTAAAAACCTCATCAGTTGACTCAGGTTAATTCCATGAATAAATTTACAGTAAAGTCCCGTTCTGTTCCAGCCCATTTTGTGGGCAAACCTGATCACGTCACTTTTCAATAGCAATCACCAATGGTGACATGACCATGGTCTATGTACAGAAATTAATGCCTTTGAATGGTTAAAGGGACGATAGATAATGCACTGATGTGGTGGTCGACATTTTGATTTATAATAATCCTTGCATTTGACATAGGGCCTTATCACATCTTCAAGCCGTCTCAAAGCACTTCACAGAATATACTGTAAAGTTAATTTACTATATATTTGCGGGCAAAACGCGGCAGCCAATTACGCAGAGCAGTGTCCCACAAACAGTCCATTGACCAAATGTTTTTTAAAATTGTGACTAATAACTGGGTTCTACTTACTGCTAGATAAACAGTAAGGAAACATGCCCAATGTTTTGCCCTGCCTGGGAATCAATCCCAGATCCTCTCGCTTGCGAGGTGAATGCTCTAACCACTACGCTACGGGACTCCCTTTCATTCCAATTTATAAACACAAGACAAAGATAAAAACAAACATAAAGCGCATTTTAAAGATTTAAGGTGCTGGAGAGCAGACTTCCTGTATGATTCAACATGTTCTTTGAAATATTCAAAACAGGCTACTTTAGTACAATAATATTGAGAACCTTCCATCACTTCTGGGTGACTTAATTGGGCTGGAAACATGTGGCCCTTATGCATCTAAATTCTTCCTTCCACTTGCAAAATAAAACCAGGTTTGGTATACACATTTTCATATACCCACTCTCCCTCAATCCCTTTAATGAACTGGAACCTACTACATTACCACAAACTTAATAAAGCAGATTGTTTCAGCGACATGCCCCAAGTCAATCAGACAAATGTAATGTTTCTTTTAAAAATTCTAATTTAAAAATGTAAGCAATTGAAAGCTCCTTGCTTTACTTTTTTTGTTGCTTACTTGAGCGAATCTAAAATCCTTAAATTATACTAATGCTGAGTTAGCACTGCGACTGATACTGAGTCACTCAATGCAGCTAAGGAGAATAATGTATGTGATTATAAAACATTTGTACCTCTCAGTTACAGTACCACACATTTGCCACTAGGTGGTACCAGTACACTTTATAACTAGGGCTTCTAATGTGGGGGGTTTATTCATTTGAATTTTGAGGTGGGGGGGGATTATTTTTAGCAATTCTTTAATAATTTTGGAATGTTTGTAAATTGGATTTTAGGGAACTTTTGTTGCTGTACTGAGAAGAGGTGCTGTGCACATGGAGGAGAGAGGAGCACTCTCCCACATACGCTGTACCTCCTTCCTCTCGTTTCCCCAGACTCGCCTGCGCACACGGAGGAGGGAGAGACAGAGAACGGTACATGTGCAGTCGGAGGCTTCTGAGAATCGGAGGCTCACCTCGACTACTCTAATGGCCTCCTCACCGGTCTCTTCAGCTCCACTATCCACAAAATCCGGAATTCCGCCA